ATTGATGGAGAAATCACTTCTAAGGTTTTCTTTCTTTTTCTTTTTTTTTTTTGGGACATGGACCAATTTTCAATTGCTATGTGAAATTGAAAATTAACTTCTTTTTCTTGTGGGTAGCAAAAATATCCGTCAAACAATAGCATGTTGACCCAAAGAGTAAAAATGGTGAATATGTCATGGTTTTGGCATGTTTGGATCTTCTTGATTGGAAACACATACTCAGAAGCTTCCCTTGGTTAAAACCAAAATTAGCTTGAACCCAAACAGTGTTCATAAAAATGTTGGAATATTGTAGCCGATGCTGATTATACACGTGGGACACCTTTTGGGTTCCAATTTACGTGGTTAAAGAATTCAATAAGATTTACTAGTTCATGATTTGTTATCAAGATAATAAGTATTTATTTGTCACGGTATAGTTTAAAAATTCTTGCCCGGGATATAAACTATTTCTAAATTAATATTGCTAATTAGACCATAATGATTGACCTAACTATGATCTAGTGATAGTCATGAGATCTGGAGTTTTGTGAATATAAATTGTAAACGTGACTTTTCCTACAAATGGTGTCAACTCTTGATCCCAAACTGTTCACCATGAAGGTTGATCAAAATTGTGCTTGAGCGAGCAGCGGGGGTGTTTCTTTTACAAAGGAATGATCGAGGACAATCTGATGATAAATTTGTATAGAAATGATTGAATGTATTAGTATTTAGCTGGGAGTAGTGAGTAGTCAGGTTACCTCAATGATGCCGAGTTTGGCCTTTTAATAGGCTAGAAGATTAGACTGTTGGAAGATCCTCGACTACTATTTGAATGGGAGACACCAAAATAAAACAGATGTGGTGCCCTCGAGCATGGATATCTCAATTGGTTTTAATTAGTCATAACATGCGGAGCTAAGGGGCTGCTAAGCTGGGTGAGCAAGGAACTACAAGTTGGGCTTTTTCGAACTGCGGAGCTCCTCCTTGTAGGAGCAGCATTCCTCTACCGGGCTCGTGCCTAATTTACCATTATCAATGGGCATGTTAATGGAGGTACGTGGTGGTTGAATCGGGTGTGATGAGGATGAGTGTGACTTGCGGTGGATCCATTAAAGTGGGTGTGGGCTTTGGCGGTGTGGTTGCAGCAGGTTGTGGCGATGGTGGATCAAATTGTGCATGCATACTTGCAACACAAAAGTAGGATTACTAAATAACATTATAAGGTTTAATTCTTCGACAATACTGACTATTACATATGGTGAATTTTTTTGTTTTTTTGGTTGGAACCCGCAACCACTTAAGAGTAAAAGTAAACCCTTATCGCTCGGTCGCCCCCTCACTTCAAAAAGTAGAAGATTCACAATTGATTATTACATATTGTGAATTTTTTATTCTTTGACATTAATCAAGAAAACGGAGATAAAATTGAATCAAGATAATAGAAAAACAAATGCAGTTTAAATATGAAAACGCCTACATGAAGCAAGAAAGCCAAAAAAAAAAAGCAAAAAAGAAAATACAAGAATTGTGCTTCCACAGGACACTGATGCAGAATATGGAAAAAAATTTCAATATCCAAAAGTCTACACACTTATGATCATAAGCCTATCCATCTTTGATGCTTCATAGGCTGCATGAAAGGAAAAAAAAAGAAAGATAAATGGATAAATAATCTGACATTGGCGCAAAAGAACGCTAAAGCAATCACAAAGAATAATATTGCCTACATGAGAACAGTATTTTCTTTTCATTCCTAAAAACCGCATACCTCTCAAAGTGTATGTTTATTTTGCCAGCATCCGGATTGGCAATGGAGGAAAAAGCTTCCTGTGATAAGTCGAGGGTGCCTCGGCATCCAGGTGGGGGGCAGTAATCGACAATCGTCACAACGACCGAGTTGCCGTTGCAGGGGTGGGGCTCGCCCAGGTTGGTCCCACTAAGGCAAGTGACACTATACCTTGTTCCACATGCACCACCATTGTCCCAGATTGCATCACTTGCAGCCGCAATCATCACACCATCATCATTATATCCATTACAAGCCGAAGCTGAGTCACCCAAAGAAGAATTAAACAGAGTAATTCTCTTTCATTCCTTAACCCACATAGACGTTGTTACTTTTGAGAAATGTCTAATAGGAGTTGGTAATTTAGATTATCTCATTAAAAAAAAACGTTTTTGGAGGACGAGAATGGATGGGGGAAAGGACGAGATTTGAATCCACAACCACCTGAGGGCAGAAGTGAGCAATGACTGGGTGGTTTCACCAAAAAAAACCATTGGTTGTCTCTCCAATTTACAAAAGTCTTACTGTTAATCCTGGGATTTACTCAGATGAGCAGGCCTCAGGGGTACAATACCCCAAGTTTCTAAGCTTGAATTTCAGTTAAATCAATACACATGGTAAAAAATATGGGTTCTTGTGCTCGAAGTTTGTATTAAAACTACGACAAATCAAAAAATAAATAGTTGAGATGACTCCCCACTATGGAAAAAAGTATATGAAAATTTTATTTAGACTCATGTAATCAAGCTAATTGATGAAACTTGATTAGGGTACAACAACCCAAAATGGGTGACATAAAGAAAGGCGAGAAAAAACTTGTCCTAACTACTAATGGATAAATTCTTCCACTTAACATGAACCTCTACTTAATTCCTGACTTCGTCCCCAATTGTTAATTTGGCTCTTGTTGGACAAAAACACTAGAAATAATGATACATGAAATCTAAAAGTGCAGACTTAACCAATATGGCCTAATCTAATTAGATACACTTGATTGCTTCAAAATTCTTTTAACTAAGAGGTGTAGAAGTCAATCATTACCAAACAAAACGATTTATTTCACAAGTCTCCCACTTTGGGTGTTCTATAGTGCCCTTTTAATTTTCTGACTTATCTTTACCTTCTATGGGTGTTTTTCTTTCCGTTGTACACGTGCATTATTCGAAAGCTAAGATAGTTTATTATTCATTATAAGAAACTATTATAATGAATATATATAGTTTGTTGATCATTATCTACGTGTGTGTGTGTGTGTATATATCAGAAAAAAAGAGAAGTGACTTACGAACGTAAGGAGGTGTGTAGAACGTTGCAGTCCCTTCATCTGCAAAGGCTGCTAGTGGAAAGAGGAGAAAGACTAAAGCGATGGCCCGAAATGAAAAATGGGGTTGTGTCGCGATGGCCATCAGGTAGGTAGTTTCTTTCTTAGGAAAGCTACTAATTGAAGACAGTGAAGATTTGCACTAAACTTCCCTATAAGAAAGAGCTATTTAAAGAGAATCTCATGCACAGTAAGCTTATGCATGGGTGTGACATGTGGCCGGCATTGCCCGGCCAGCCGGTCCGGCGTGATTGAAAACACCAAATTTTTTTAAGTAAATTTCATAATTACAAGAAGTTCATTACTTCAAACTTTGTATTTTCTAGCTAGAATTCTTCCCTTAAAACACTTGTTGGGAATATTAAAAAAAAAAAATACTCAAAAGCTTCCATTGTTTAAAACAAAATTAGTTTGAATCCAATCAAGTCATAAAAATGTTTAAAGATAGTAGCCAAATGCTGATTAGACATGTGGGACATCTTTTGGATTCTAATTTACTTGGTCAAAAGATTCAATAAAATAAGTGGTTCATGAATTGTGACCTCTAAACGTTTATTTATCACGGGCTAATAGGAAATATGTCCCTAGGTAAGAATCTAATCTAAACTTAATAATGCTATTTAGACCATTATTGCAATCTAGCCCCGCAGTGAGGAATAAACTTAGCACCAGGAATAGATTGCAATCATTTAACCCACAACAGCAGCTGGAGTTTGTACTCTGTTGGAGGGGTGCAGAGTCTCATAGTCACTTATTATTTGATTGCCAATAATCTCAGAGTATAAGGAGGATGCTGATGCAATAGAGTGGACTAACATGGTTCTTAGGACCATGGAATGATTTTATCAGTTGGGCAACTCAGGGGTGGAAAGGGAAAGGATTGACTGTTGTGTTACAAAACTGAGCATTAATTGTACTGTTTTTGGAGGGAAAGAAACAACAGGATCTTCCAAAAGCAGTTCAAGCACAGTGACACATTGTTTGGAATTATCACACATCATCAGAGAGAGGATAACTTCCCTCAGGTTCAAGTCTTCCCCCTTAAATCAATGGTTGATGGCTAAATGGCATCTACCAGCATAATTCTCTAACATTATGCTTAAGATTATCTTTACCAAAGAATCGGAGTTCGGAAAAATTGGTTCAGGCCCTTAGTTATATACATATACTAAGTATTTCATGTATTCATTTCAACTTGGTTATTGATTTTAATTCTAATGATGTTCACTATCACTTTTTTGTTTCCCCACGCATTGGACTCAGTAATTTTTTGTCTTCTAATTATAAACACCTGAATTTATTTGAGGTTTTAATGTTTTTAGGCCAAAAATTTTGTCACAATAAGTTTGAAAACTTTCTCCCAACATTTTATGAGCTCATAACAAATAATCTAGATGTTTGGACATCATTGTCTGAATTGGAAGATGAGATTGAAGGTAGTTAGTCAACTTTCATCAACAGAAGGTATAAATACCAAACTTCAAGGGCTAATACGAAGTCATCTAATCTACCCAGCAATACAAAACTCATGTTGGGGGCACCAATATTGGAACTCAAACCAAGTAGGTGAAGAAACTCGTCAAGCGCCGGTACAAGCTTTGGTCAACCTGGAAAGAATCAAAGAGAAAATTCTAATTGGGGTCGATCGGGTTATTCATGTTGATTGCATGGCAACAATCTCCTCCACTGATGNCAAACTTCCACATACAAAATAGTTGACAAAGATGTCTTGAGGATCGCCCCGATCAATGGGAAGTTTTTGAAACGCTTCTATGTCTGAAAGCAAAAAACACTTTTTTATGTACAAGACTAAACTAAATGTTGCTCCNGATTAGGCTGACGATTGAAGGCTTCAATCGATGGGGGCAACATGTTATAGGTATGATTCATCTCAAGTTCAAAACCGGAGAATTAGTGTCTTCTACCAGCTTCCATGTCATCAACTCCAAAACAATTTACGAGCAACTGTTGGGATGACCTTGGCTCCATGAGACAGGAGTTGTGCCATCAACATTGCACCAATGATTCAAATATTGTCATGATGAAAAAGTGAGGTAAGTCATTGCTGAGATCAAGCCTTTCTCAATGGAAGAATCTCACTTTACAGATGTCAAGCTCTACTATAAAATGAAACTTATCTCAAAGGTCGTTACTATTAACATACCAAAGATCAGACTGTCAAAAGAAAGACAATAACAACTTTTGACAGATGACATCAAGCCTTTGAAGGAAGACTTAACCTTACCTGTAACTTAGTTATCAGAACTAACCAAATCTGAAGGGCTTTGTAAATGCTTTTGCTATATATGAAAGAAGAGATTGCAAAAAAGGTTAGGTTAATCAACAANGATTGTACAATCAATTCAGTATGTAGGAAGACCCACTGCTCATAGACAAGGAAAAATGGTGTCGCTGGCTACTCTCAATCCGCTATAGAGATTAGTCATGGGTTCACAAAAATGTTTGGTCCCTCAATTATTCAATTCATTCTATCACGAGGTTCACCAGCTGCAAGGATGTGAAGTCCGATGACATTACTTATGCTTCATGACATGTTCTTGCAAAATACGCACTCATGTATGAATCTTTAGTGTATGATACTGAGATGCATGCTATTATGTAAATCAAGCTACAACGATGCTAGCTTTACACTAGTAATAGGATTTTGGGGGAAGTATTTACTCAAGGTCTATATTTCCCCTGAAATTCAGGTTGCTAATGTTAATGAATTGTGCTTGCCTTTAAGTGGTTCCTAAGATTTGTAAAGTACCCTCTTTGTTTGTGAAGTTGGATGCTATGAATACAAGTCAATAGAGTTTATCTTCAGAGGAAAAAAATCTATCACTATCCTATATTATTAACGCATGACCAGATTAGATACACTTCAACAATTTATCTTATGTTTCTCTAATATGTACTCACCAACTCGACAGAGCTATGGTATATGGCACATGGAATTTAACACTCCAACAATTGGTGGTTGAGTTCCTTCCCCTTGGTATCTNATTTATCTTATGTTTCTCTAATATGTACTCACCAACTCGACAGAGCTATGGTATATGGCACATGGAATTTAACACTCCAACAATCGGTGGTTGAGTTCCTTCCCCTTGGTATCTCANCACATACTACTGTCCAATGGTTGTCAAAGTTGGTCCCTCATGTAGGAAAAGAAGAAAAACTCTAAAATTTTCAATTTCCTTGTAAAAAGGGATGACTTTTTACAGATTGTATCTCATGTTTGGCAAGAACCATCCAAGGTACCCTGTAATTCCAGATCAACAATAAACTAAAGAGACTAAAGAATTTTTTCAAGGCAAAATGCAGAGAAATGTGAGATATCTNTCCTTGTAAAAAGGGATGACTTTTTACAGATTGTATCTCATGTTTGGCAAGAACCATCCAAGGTACCCTGTAATTCCAGATCAACAATAAACTAAAGAGACTTAAGAATTTTTTCAAGGCGAAATGCAGAGAAATGTGAGATATCGCGGCCAAGGTTAAGGAGGTCAAAGTTAATCTTGACCAATGCCAAAGGAAATTGATGCTCAATCCACTTGATAGCAAATTAAGGCAAGCAGCAAAGAATGAAGAAAGTTTCTTTAAAGAAAAATCTAGGGTTCTATGGTTAAAGGATAGGGATAGGAATACTTCTTTTTTCTTCAAAACCATGGTAAACAAAAGAAATATGAACATACTAGGACTTTCTAAATAATCAGGTAATGCCTTCTGGTCTGAATTCTACTTCTATAGTGCTCATACCAAAGATCAAGAATCCAGTGAAGATGACAGATTTACGACCCATTGCTTTGTGTAATGTGCTGTACAAAATAATGGCTAAGGCTGTAGCCAACAGATTCAAATGTGTTCTTCCAGCTATTATATCCGAAACACAAAGCGCTTTTGTGCCTGGTCGATTGATTACTGATAATGTCATGGTGGCTTTTGAAATAGGACATTTTTTGAAGCGGAAAAAACAAGGTAAGATGGGGATGGNCTTCCAGCTATTATATCCGAAACACAAAGCGCTTTTGTGCCTGGTCGATTGATTACTAATAATGTCATGGTGGCTTTTGAAATAGGACATTTTTTGAAGCGGAAAAAACAAGGTAAGATGGGGATGGCGGCTCTGAAAATAGACATGTCAAAAGCATATGACAGAATTGAGTGGGAATTTCTCAAACTGATGATGACTCGGCTGGGCTTTGATATTCAATTTGTAAAGTTAATAATGAGGTGTGTTTCTACAGTGGAGTATATGGTGGTTCAAGAAGGAAGGGGGATGGGGCCTATATACCCAGAGCGTGGGCTTCGTCAAGGAGACCCTCTCACACCTTATTTATTTTTGATCTGTGCTGAAGGCCTCTCTGTTTTACTGAGTGACTATGGCTCGAGGGGATTGATTCATGGTTGTAAAGTAGCTCGGTCAGCTACTTTCATTTCTCACCTATTTTTGGCGGACGATAGTTTTCTATTTTTCAGGGCTAACATGCAGGAATGTCAGCGAATAAAGGAGTGTTTGAGTTTATACGAGCAAGCATCGGGCCAAATGATAAACTTCCAAAAGTCATCTATGTCTTTCAGTGCTAACATGGCTCCTAATGAAAAGGTGGCCTTATGTACTTTTTTGGGGGTTTCGTGCACTGAAGATCATGGTAAATATTTGGGCCTTCATTCACTGATAGGCAGGAACAAATCAGCTGTGTTCTCTTATATTAAAGATAAGGTATGGCAACGTATGCAGGGTTAGAGGAGGAAGATGTTGTCAAGGGCTGGTAAACAGGTGTTGTTGAAAACAGTTGTCCAAGCTATGCCGACCTACGTTATGAGCGTCTTTTTACTTCCGCTGTTACTCTGTCAAGAGTTGGAGCAGATGATGAATCCCTTTTGGTGGGGTAAAACAGGTGCTAATGGTCGTGGAATTAATTGGTTGGCATGGGAGAGATTATGTGATCACTAATCAAAGGGAGGACTAGGGTTTAGGAAGCTACGCGAATATAATCTTGCGCTATTAAGGAAACAAGGATGGCAATTGTTGACTTCTTCTGACGCTTTGGCATCGAGAGTATTCAAAGCTAGGTATTT